AGATACTTTGCAAGATTTCACGGCAAATCTGCTAAGTCCATTCGCAGCAGTATCACCACGCCCAAATACCCGTCTACGTTCGAAATGTTTTCGCCTAGAGACGCAGTTTAAAAAAACATTAGAAGTCTTGTGTGTGGTCAATATCAGCTGAAGTATCAAATTATGAGAGGCTGAATCAGCTTATAGTGTTTGCTCAGTGGATTCGTGTCTTTTTAACGTCTCACGAAGCCTGCCGTGCTGCGCACGATTCGCGTGCTTTGGTGAGAAATTCGCGCGTGTGCCTTGCAAAATCAGTTTTGTATCCGGCGGAGAGTAATTGAATAGAAAACGGGTGTGTTATTCTCCTCAACCTCAGTGAATAAAGCTCTTCGAACGAGGACACGAAAAGCTGTTTGTTTACTTTTTGTTGGCGTGATGACATCGTCTTGGAACGAGAACGTCGAGCGGTTAAAGGTTAAATTGGTCCTTGTCTGAATAAACGCTACTCGTCAAGGCTTTGTCTGGATTCCGAGAGAAGGTCAACAGCTAACGGGTGTTTTGCGAGATTCTTGGCGAAGACTAAATTATTGGAGTCTCAAGAGGGGTGTAAATTGAAATGCTGAACAGTATGATCACGGCGTAGGTAATTAGTGGACTGATTTTCTCTGTTCATGGGGCGTGTCTCATTCGCGCTCGCTCTCGCCTCGCGTGATTCAAAAATAAAGCTTTGCAACTGCTTCTTCTGCAGGCTAAACCCAGAGAGGTTGGAGGTTGAAGGCTAATAGTAAGGGGACGTTTTAGAGAAGTGGTTGAGGTTAAATTAAAGCTTTCCCCAGTTAGAGTACAAACAAGATAAATAAAGTAGACTCACCACAATTTCGTAAAGTAACACATTTACACAAAATATGGTTGATAAAATAGCTTCAAAAGGCTATCGCTTCCTTCTTTTTTGTGACTGCAAGCGTGACATGGGGCTTCGCATGTCACGCTCGTACGCTCACGACCGCGCACTTGTGTTGCGTCCTTCTTTGCGTTCTTCCCAACGGAATTTCGAGCGAAAGAAAGACTGCTCGCAGTCTACATCCGCTGCCCTGATTCGTTTGCAGTGGTTTTTTCAGTAACACTTTTCTATCCTTCAATCTGTTCAATGATTAATCAACATCCTAATACTTTTCGTCTGATCTCCCCAGGGTATCATGGGAATTACCGAACTAATGACGTCAATTTTCACGACACGTGACTGATCTCATCAGCAATCGCCCGCGAAATTGACAAGAAATCTTCAAGTAATCTTTTCCACAATAGCTCCGTTGAAGAGTTGTCGACTTTTGTTCCTGAACTTTCTTTGCAAGACTTTTTGCCACAATGACTGAAAGAAAAGATTCCTCCATTGGAACGGAAAACATTGCTACGAAGCCTGCGGCCTCGGCGGCAAGACAACGTCGTTCAAGTCTGTTTGAGGTTGGATTTCCAGTGCAGCGGGACCGCGGTTCCAGCTTAGTTTCTATTCCTAGCATTATACCGAGCCAAATACATGCAGCCCACCAGAAAGTTCGCTACGAAAACACGTACAAAATGGAGCCAGACAAGCGATTTCACATCGCCGAAGTCAAAGAAATCATGGAAGAAACGCTATCGTCGTCCCTGAAGGAGGAGAAGTACGATGCTGTGAAATGCCGAGCTTTGAGCAAATCGCTCTCGCATACTATCTGCGAGAGAGTCAAGCTGTTGGGATTTGGGCGTTTCAAGATCATCAGCAGTGTGACTATTGGCCAGATAAAAGGACAAGACGTTCGAGTTGCCAGTCGCTTTCTGTGGGATGAAAAACATGATACGTGGGTTGATGCCGTTTTTAAAAGTTCTGAACTGTTCGCGGTTGCAGTTGTTTATGGCATCTATCAAGAATAACGTCAAACTAACCTCTCAGTTTGAAAACTCTATTTTCAACGACTGAATCATTGGATTTTGAGAGTTCTGTTATCTTGTAACCGGTGAAATAGTTAAGACTTCATTGTGATGCTTCAATTTTATTGGTAAACCTATTCAATGTTAAACGTCGTGAAATGAACATGACCTCGCTTTATTGTTTGCAAGTACGTTTTGTAATCTTTTCGCCGACTTTCAAAATATCTTTAGAATTCTTGAACCGTATTTGTACCATAAATTCACAAATCGTTTTCTGACTCATTTATTATCGAAAATTTTCATTGAGCCTTCACTATGTAATGCACTCAATGTCTTCAAATTCTTGTCAAATAGGCCATCTTGTGTAATTAAAATGGCACCTATTTTTAATTAACATTTAACTGAAAGATTTTAGCATGTTTATTTGAATTCAGCTTAACAATGAGTAAATAAATATATTATTTCTTAAACAGCCACTGAAATTATGAATAGGATTATTTCAATTTCAGTATCCCAAGCCTTCCCACTTTTAACTTTAAACTTCTCATTAATTGTGTTATAACCATTTGACTTTCCTTCTACTTTTGGCCCCCAAAATTCCTGTTGGAAAAGGAAAGAAAACTACCGCAGTAATTTTTTTTACGTTACATTTGTTACCGCCAAAGGAGAATTTTTATATTTTTTTAAATTTTAACAAACGTTCCCTCGACAAAACGTACAAAAGTTGATTTGACATTTTGATTTTGCCGTTTGTACTTAGTCGTAACGTCTCCAAACTTAAAAATCGTTGTTGTTATTGGCCTATTGTTGCTTCTATCTTACTCGGGGGCCTGGCTCTTAATCTTAACATTAACAACAACGCATTTGAACACTGAAGGATGTAAGAGGGACTTAAGGACGGTGCCTACTAAATACAAAGGTTTTTGCACCAGGTTAAGACCACGCAGAAAAAGTAGATCTTTGCAAGGGCTATTGGAATCCACAAAGAAAAATTGGGGTAGCCGCGCATTTTTTCGAGATAATTAGCCTTTAATCTCAACAAAAATGCTGACATCAGCATTTTTCTGAAAAAAGAACGAAAGGATATTTCTTTACAAATTTCCTTAGAATTCGCCTTTACATTCAGAAAAGCAAACACATTTAAAAAGATCTTTAAACTACCTGGCAAATGGTAACATAAAAAACATTTTTGGTATGTCTGTAATAACAAAATCGTTGTAACAGCGCTTTTAGCGTCTCTGACAGCCTTCCTCTGGTTCAGCTAAAATACAGCCTAAATACCTTTTGCTCACAACCAGAAACTAATCACATGTTGAATAGGCTTGCCACCTCCATTTCATAACATAAAATGTAGGGGTAACGACGCGTTTTTTAAAGTTATTCACCTTTTTTGAAAACTTTTACGGTGCCCGTTACATTTTTTTTCTGTCACCTCCCCAGTAAGGAAGACATTTGCGCACTACGCCATCTGCAGGTACATATTTACAGTTGGATTTCAGTATAATTTTCAACAGATAACAGGTAGGTTTTCAGCTGGAAGACGTTAACAGTTAGTGGTTAGCGATATGCTGCTATTCTGGTGTTCCTGGCTTACGTACAGGCTCATTAAACTTGATTTGGTCACAGTGGGAAAATTTTGCTTTCATTTTAGTCGTGTACGTGATAGCGTAGTTGATTGCGTCAATGTTAACCCTAGCGCGCGCGTGACGCTTAAACCATGGCTTGCGTGATGCGCAGAAGGTGTGCGCACTAACAAAAGTAGGCACCGTCCTTAAACTCGTTCTTTGAATGTGAGGCGAGCGCGTCGGGTAGGAAGGGGAGAGAGGGGGACACTCTGTTTCCGTCCTCATCCGTGGCGCCTACTTGAACTTGTAAAATTGCACACACGGAATGGGAAGAACGTTTTCAGTAAAGGTAATTGAATAAGCTGCGCTGGTAGACTGTGTCGGAAAACAGCTTTTCGCAGTCTCCAGTCGAAGTTTGCCCTAGTTTTCCGCGCATTATCTCCGCCCCCCGCGAGAAACAGCCCGTTGACATTCCCCGTTAGTGTTCGTTACTGGTATTTGACATGCACAACACCTACGTATATATAAGCATCTTTGATTTGGAATTTGTCTTAATCTGCAGCTATTTGTCCTGCAAAACATTTCACTTAACAGGCGCATATTTTTTAGTCAGCATTTATTTGTTGGAAGATGCAAATTATTCTATCACGCTTTGCAAAAGTGGTCCAAAAAAAAATCCCTTCTCTCCCGGTGCAATTACAAGTTTATCACTATTAAATGATAGTTTGTTAAAACGCCTTTGTTTTTCACCACCTTCTATACAAGCATTAGTTGCTAGGTGTTCTGTCACGTTTTAAACGAGTTTCTATGACTGAGTTCTCTTAGAAGGAAAGATGCCAACTGACTTTGCTTGTAAACAAGACAGATTTTTTCCCCAAGGAACTGGCCATGACAAATGACTCCGAATAATTTTGGTGTCTATACTACACTTTCCTCCCTGTAATGTAACGAGTAAGCAAAATCTAGTTTCGTTCAATTGAAGCGTTATCAGGTGTAGAAAAATTTAATTTGAATTCAACTAAATTCATCTTTGCTATATTTGATAGCACGGATATTACGATTATTACGATATTACGATATTACGATGGACCGTGTGGATGTCCAGTGCACGTTTCATGAAGTGGTGAGCAAACCTAGGTAATGTGCGACCACTGCTCAGTGATTCAATGCTTGTAGGCGCTCTTACAATAATATATCATTCCTACATAGAAATGCTACTATTATAATATAAACTATGATCTGTACAGCCCCCGAAATGATCCCCAACCCTGAACTGATCCCCCATAAACGCATATAGACACTCTTAATAATTTGAATGAGTTATTAACAAATTATTACAAATATATTATGAATATCACTCTTACTAATAAATAATTAATGTATAATATTAATATGTAATTATGTATTAACACTAATTTGAAGAAATCGGTATTCAAACAAATTATACCTTTCCAAGTAGATCTTAGAATATCAATCTAATATTATAATATGAACCAATAAATAAAGGTAAATCTTATTCTCGTGGATCAAGCATAGTAATAAACAAACGAAAAACAAGAATTAAACGTGCATTTAACATTCATATACTCCTAGGCTATTCACGCAAACGTAAATTAACTTCTAAGCATGAAATCGCACAACGAAAGCTAAACTTTTAAGCTTCTAATAGAGCTGCAACAGGTAGCGGCGTTGTGAACATAGCTTTAATTTGCTTCCGAATTATATAAGGGCTTTGTGAACGACAAAAAATAGTTCAAAGGTCCCGGCATACACTTCTGAATTCCACTCTACGGGCTCGCGAATCCCCTGCCTTTGATAAATTCCTTATTATCGTTTCCTTGTGAGCGGTGCTTCATTCTGAGGGTAGCAAGATTTCTGTAAGCTTCTAATAAAGCCCGTCTCCATAAGACAGACCCATCATTCCTAACACCATGGAGTGCGCTACACTGTCGCTATCAGTCTCCCCCGCAATGATCTTCAATTTGGGCCGACGCCTGCGCAGTCGGTACACCACATCATGGCGCACGCGCAGTTGATCTGTAATGATCAAGCCCTTCAGGCCCGGTAGCACACTTAGGTCAAACAAGCGCTTGATACACTCGTCTGTAAGGGAACCCGAGCTGCGATCGTGACCGCTGACTTCGAGCTCTTCCAACAACGGGCACTTGAACATGACGTCAATGACCGCGACATCGGTGACTCCCGTGACGGATTCCAAGCGAAGCTTCAGCAGATTAGGACAGTTGCTGGCAATGTGGTGCACGGCCGTGTCTGTGAGCCACACGCCAGCCCCCGTGTTTGAGGAACCGAGTTCAAGGACCACTAAACTGTCCTTGCAGAGGTCCACGGCTTTGATGACGTCGTCGTCGTGAACAGAGAAATCAGAACCGAACGTGACGCTTCGAAACGGTGTAAGGATACTGCCAATGTTGTCCAGATTATCTCTGGAACTACAAATAGTGAAACAAAAAGAATTTAGTTTGAAAGAATGACCAGAAATGCTTCTATCTTAGTAAACAATAATTTTCAGGATTCTTTTAATGTGAAAGTTATTTTGTACATCAGAAAAATGACTTAAAAGCAAGTGACAAATACATCAATAATTACACTTGGAGGTAAAAGGGAGTTGGCGCACGGATATTCTCTGGGTGAACAGTAAAAGAGTTGCATCTGACTATCAAAAACAGTTTCTAGAAAGTGGCCGTTAGATTCCTTAGATTGTGACAAATAAAAACCGCCAGTCACACTGGTTATGCAAGAATCAGCTCACTTCTTCCCAATCTCGATGGAACCTTAACCCAATGGCCGATACACCATATAGGCAAACAAATTTTCTGCAAACCTGAAAAAGGCTTTGGGTTCGATCTTGAAAAAACTGTAATTTCGCTCAAACACAGGAGGTTCAAACACGCTGAACGCATCCTCGTGGACAGAGCACGGCTCTGCAACCTTCTTACAACATCGTCCACACATGTCAAAGTCACAGCCTCTTTTAGGCTGGTTTGAGCATCTTGCCCCCCTGCACTGAAATTTTCGCTGGGTGGTTGGTTTCTTTAGGGGTTTTCCTACAGTGGTATGTTCCTCGGCGCTGACGAATTCTTTAGCGTTCCAGTTGAGGCGTTTGTCCACTCTAGGATGGCAGACTTTAACGGGGTCCTTGATGCTGAAAAGCTCACCTGAAGAAAGGTGAATAAAAGGAACGGAACGTTAGAAACTGGAAATGTAAAATTCATAAAATGCCGGCGGTCTAGTTTTCTTCTCTCTGTTGATTTCTTGGCGTTTGGGAATAATAATGAACTGAACTTTAAACACTTGCAAAATCTAATGACGATAACATCGACGAAGTCACACTCTATCACTATGAGGTTGTCACAGCATCTCTATTCAGCGATTTTCTAAGATCACTGTCTGAAAAAACCGCTTTTTACCTCTAGCCAAATAAATAAAACACAAATAATGCGAGGAACCAATCGCAAACTCGAAGCAATTGTAAGCGCGGGAAAAAGAAAGGAAGAAGCTCCTAGCTTGCGCCAGTGGACATGTAGCCAGTGCCAAGCGCGGTAAAACACAAAACTGACGCCAAAAGCGCGGGAAAAGGCGAGGCAGCTGCCACGTTTGGTTTGGCTTTTGCGTCTGAATGGTTGAGTAAACAGCTTCTATGCTCTGATTGGTTAGTAGCGTAAAGCACGCCTTTTTTACCCAATTAGAGAGCTAAGCAAACGAAGAACTTAAGTACACACGTTGATGCTTTCGACTTTCAATTGAAAATAGCTATACAGTTGAACACATTCATTTAGAAGATTACCTAACTCGGTTAAAACGTCAGGCGTCCACAATGTCTCTGTAGCGCTTCTGAAAAACTTCAGCTTGCTTTCTTCATCCCAGTTCATCTTCCTCTCCAGACCAGCAAACACAATGAACGCAACTCCTTCGTCAACAGAAACCGGGCATTGACACTCCGCAGTTTTGCATCTGCAATTGAAGGAATCTTTCTCTCCGGTCGCCAAGAGATATTCACGAACAAGCTGTCCGAGCACCTCGGGGTCTTCGAGTTCCTTCCCCATACGGTGAAAAACCTCGGTAGCATCGATGTTAAAACCGTTATCTTCGACATCCTGTAGCAGCTTCCCTATCGCCTGAGGGGTCCACTCCTTGGGGAACTTTCTCTGCGCTGCGGCTAGAATGCAAGCCACATGACTCTCTAGGAATTTAACTCTAATGGGCGCGTTGCAAAGGGTAAGAATCATGCTAGCCAGATTTGCATCATCTTTCTCGGAGATCCTCAAAAACAACTCCGCGACGTCGCTGGCTGCCGGACGCCAGTGACGGATCGTCTCTCCTAAGATTAAACTCAGAGCAATGTTGAACTCGTCAAATTCTTTAATGGAAAGTTCAGCGAGGTTTGATATTAGCTTGTACACGGTCTCCATGTCCCATGTCGTCATATCGTAGTTTCTGAGCTCGTAAAAGAACTCATGAACATGTTTCTCTAAACAGTCGGAAGTGTCTGAATCCTCGCTTGACTCATCATCACCTGCTTCTGTTTGCTCTTCATTTGATAACTTACTCTCTGCAATAAAACATAATGAAATTCAGGCTCCATCAACGCGTTTTAGTTAAAATTCCTTTTCAATGCGTTTTCGCCTATCGTCCTCACTTAACGATGAAAAGGGTGGAAAATTTTGAACGTGCATCCAAAAGTCGAGACTTTTCCAACTGAAGCTATGTCATATCGTTTTGTCTGCTTGAAAGGGTAGAAAAGAAAAATTTCGAAAGCGCGGCGCTCTCCGTAACATTGTGCTCACATCCCTCTAACACTCCCCCAACCCCCTCTCCCTGCCATCGCTATTGACGTATGAAGTACAGTGGATAGCAGGGGAACATTCAAAATAAATTAGTGTTGACGGGAACTCAGTAAGAAATGCACGTTCATTCACGAGATTGCGATCTACCTGGCGAATAGACGGTTACCCACTCTTAAAAACCCCTATTAGCAGAGGTTTCTCCCTCTGCTAAATACTTTTAGACACCTTAATAAGCTTTAATAAAGTTCGTTCGGCGGTTCGTTTGTTCGTTCGTTCGTCGGTTCGTTCACTCGCACTCTCGCTCCAGGGCGCTCGCTCGTTCATTCGTTCGCTCG